CACAAGAAAGGAAGAAAAAACCTGCAACCGTGGCACCGCAGCTGAGCCACCAGTAACGGAGGGGCATGGTTCAGAGAAGCTGCGAGCCGGTGTTGTGCCGCCAAAAATTACTATGCAAAATTTAAACTATGCTAGAAATGATATCCTGGTTGGTGGGGGAGGCTAAGCGAGATGGGGAAGGACGAGGAAACAACATAAACACCTGCGGTCGGCTCCTAGCAAGTGTATCCAGCCAAAGGTGTCCATCGTATTTCGGGCCCCAACAAGGGAACCGAGAAGCGCCAAGCGAAGCCATTTGGAAATGAGGGCCTTTGTTCCTTTCGACCAAGTCATCGCTTGGTCACCTCTCTTCTATCACCCACACCCCGGTGCGAAAACAACGCACATCGCACGAGTCGGTGTGCTGGCATGCGTAACACGTAGCCCAGCCATCGGGGCCTGGTGCTTGAAATAACGGTGTTAAACGGTTCATTTCACTACATACGCCATAAAAAATGCGTCGAATACGCTCATTGCTCCCGGCAGATATGATCCAAATTGCGAAGGCACCGGTGATCGAACCTAACTAGCTTATTTATGTCCGTTGATCTAAGGGGCCAGTTTTCACAACCGTATAACATGGTTGTATATACGGCTGCATTGTACACTCTACCCTTTAGGGCGAGAGTGATGTCGCGCCGGCGCCATAAGTGAGGAAGGTTAGCAAAAACACCTCGTGCTTTTGCTATACGGTTCGTGATCTCATCTTCGATCCCAAGGGTGGTGGTACAACTTCCCAGGTAGTTGAGTTTCTGAACGACTTCTAACTGCTCCCCACCAATGGTCAGCGCAGGAGGCGGTCCATGTCAATCTTGGAGGAAAGCTTTGCACTTCGATGGTGCAAAGCAAAACCCGAAGTGAACGACAGCCAATGCTAATCTGTCCAGTGCAGCTTGGCACGTTTCGGAGCTGTCAGCTTGGGCCATCTCGTTTGCATACTCCAAGTCAAGAAGTCGTTCGCCTGGGAGCAGATCCACACTTTCATCTCGTAGGTGATTTCCATGACATTTCAATAGCGAAGTTGAGAAGGAAAAGTGACAGCTGGTATCTTTGTCTCATACTGCTAGAGATATTGAAGGGCGGCGACAGATTGCCGTAAACCATCGCCCTGCCCGGGCTCCCCGCCTATAATGCACAGATAATATTTACATATTTCCCGGTCACCTATTCTCAATATACAGTGCAAAATGGCACAACAATCAACCGAATCGAAGGTACCTTTGGTGTCGTGTAGCACGCAACGGTGGGCTGCCAATATATGTGACGGTGCTCTAACATCTGACGCAAAGTGAAGATGTGGTCGATGCTATCATGATCTAGACGAAATCCGGCTTGCTCCTTATGAATCTGGCTTTCACAAGTGCCAGTCAGTCCGTGAAGGATTACAGAGGCAAGGAATTTGGTAGCGTTGGGGATTAGACTGAATCTTCTATGTTTGCCGCATTCGGAGCGAGAGTCTCTCTTCATAATTAAGACCATAGCGGAGTGGCTGCAGTCGGTTGGGACAATTTCCTGCTCCCACAGTTTTACTATTAACTCGTGTAAATCATCAATAAGAGCAGGTGCCTTTGAATTTGAAGAGAGCTGGAGTTTGATCATCTGGTCCCTCGGCTTTATTTAACTTCAGATGGAGGATCTCGCATTCGACGTCTGGACGAGATGGTGGATCCAGAAGAAGCAGAGCGCTCAGCGGCGACGAGGAATCTGACAACTTCGGCCGATTGAATCGCCTTTCAAAGTGCTCAGCCCAACGCTGCAAACGTTTTTAAATGTTGTATGTGGGCTGTCCACTCTCGTCACAAATTGTTTCACTAACACCGGTTATTCTCCTGCTGGTTTCCCGTATCAAATGGAATTACTTCCGATGTCTACCAAGGGTAGCGGCCACTTCCATCTCTGACGCACGAAGAGACCACCAGGATTCGCGGTGTCTCTGCAGGCTAGCACAGATTTTTACCATCAGGTCATTAGGTGTCTCGTTGTTTTTGCTTCTAGTCGGAATGTTCCAGAGACCACGAAGAGACGCACCGTCCATGTTTGCTCTTTGACCTTACACCTGTGGACTTGGCTGCTGCTGTATTCAATGTGAAATTACTCAGCCCGGATTCCAGCGTACTTCAATACTCATTCAGAACAGCTGGCTTCGCCAGTTGACTGGACTCAATGCGCTCATCGTGTCGTTGTGGGCGTTCGACGAAACGCACCCGCAGATCAGCACATACAAGTGCATGGTCGATATTCACACATGTGCTACAAATCGAACGACAGTTTTGGACGCAGCCTTTCCAGCGGTAACATTATAATGCGATCGTTTTTCGTTCACGACTGATTCGAGTCTGGTGAGTACCATATCACCGTCCGGGGGTTGCTGTGTTAGCAGTTAGTGCTCACAAGAATAATGCGAGGATCTTCACGTAAACAGAGTTTCCGGTCACCGTTATCATTACGGGACCCTACACCGTGTTGGCCGCCCAGATACAGTTCATCAGTGGATACTTTTTCAACTTGAGCCTTCAGATCCGCAGCCAGCCCAACAGTGTCTGTGCTTTTCTGTGACAAAGGAGCTCGTTCAGTTGGCGATAGAAGTCATCTTTCACCGAGTCATCGCTACAGCTTGTGGGCGCGTAAGCAGCGATGACAAATAGACACGTATTAGCCCTGCGGGACTTCGAAGCTTTGAAGCAACCAGCCATTTGAACCGCACAAATCCGTCTGCTGAATGGGATTTTGTCGATCGGGCCAGCTTCAGCCCGCGAACTGAGTACAATACCAACACCGACTTGGCCGGTACTAAAAGCTGCGTCGTCTCCGGATAGACGCAGTTAGAAAGCGCTGCTAGTTTCACAGGGATGGGATCGCAGAGTGAGCACAGAGCTCGAGTCTTGCAGGCGGGTCTCCGATGAGCAGCAGATACCGATCGAGTGGTCCTCTAATGTTCGGGCAATTGCTGCCTGTTGACCGGCCTTTGACGATGTGCGTACGTTGAGGCAGGCAAATCGATGGCTCCAAATAGATGCTGATGCACTGTGGTGGACTGCTTGCTTGGCCATAGGCTTGGCGGCTGGGCAGGAATGACGCCCCGCGTTTACGTGTACGTTGTAACTAGTAGATAAACGCCTATCAATGCATGGTGGTGGAGAGCCGAGATTTGGGGGGTTTAGAACGGGGGGATAAAGGTGAAATTGAAACGGGACAATATGGATGAAAAAGCGTAAGAGATGGATAAGAAGACGGGAAGGCTTGAGCAGTCGCATCCAAACCCATCTCCATCCTGTCGATGCAGCAGATAGAGCGCCATTTATTATCCTCTGTGACGACTAGAGCATTAAGAAATCATAGAATTCTCCAAAAGTTTTGCAAACATGGCATGGGCGACCCTGGGTTGCATAAACAATTTTCTGCATGAATGTAGGTTGAAGGTGAGAGTCCGATAATTCATGTCCGGTGCGATTCAGGTCGAGTCCGGTGTACCGTATGGCGCTGTATTGGAGCCTCGCCACTTCTTTGTTTTCGTAAGCGAACTAGCGGGCAATTGCATTCGATTTTCTATTCTTCGCAGATGACATCCAAGTGCACACGAACAGGAAGGGCTCCAGCATGATCTTGACGCAATTTCGACCTGCCAGCATCTAATATCCTTGCATACCTTGTAGAAAATTGCTGGGTTTTTCAACTACGTCATGTATTGGTTCGGGGCACAGAGATCGCAAATCAGTTCCCAGGGATACTACCTTGTGTGCTAGTACCGAGTGATCTCAACTGTTCAAAACAGTCTGAAGTAGCTGCGAAATGAAGGAACCAGCACATCGGCCTACTGCAGTGGGTATTCAGGAATTTCAATCCATCAATTTTCCAGATGATGAGGGACTCTTACATGTGCCCTCACGTTGAATACGCTCTCTAAATTTGATAACCTTGGTTAAAGTGAGACCTTGAGTGCTAGACATCATAACACAAGGCGACGAAAACATCAAGGCCTATGCAATCTCTCTTACCAGCAATGACTGAAGTTACTGGGGGTTTGCAGCAGACTCTACCGATGGCTACGCGGAGAACTTATATTGGAGTGCCGAATATTGAGTGGCCCCAAACAAGCCGTCATTTTCTGAAATAGCCACAACACTAAGCTCAGAGGTAATCGCCTGAAAATGAATGAACAACACAGACTTCTAGAATGCTGACGGAATTAATTTTCTTCGTGTTCGTCAACCTTAGAACTCTTTCCCAAACTCATTTGTCTCCTGTTTTGGATATCTTCAAAAAAAAACGACTGGATGTTGCCCTATGCTCCCAGCACCGTTATCTAAACTGTGATACTGTGGAACATTTTCGTGATGTGTGCATGCTGGATTTCTGTGTCACATAGGTCCAGGGAAGCGTTACTTGAGTGAACATTTTTATTTCTGTTTTTTTTCACAAACTAGACCAACTATAACTGCTTCCCATTGTTACATTCAGTAACCATACTACACAATTGGTAAACAGCGGCGCATTTAAATAGACGGATCGTAAAGATTCGTCAATGTTAATCTCAGGCAGCCACCATACATCCAGGAAAGCGCTAGACGGCCGTTTCGTCCTATTAGGACTCATTCATAGCGCGCACACGCCGAATTCTGCCAGATTCGAACCCACGACCTTACTCTTACGAGCCAGCGACTTATGCCACTGAGCCATGGACGACGGTAGCGGACCGGCATGACCGATATCTAACTGCGATATAGCGCGGCTCATCCTACACCGTTATGCATGTTATGAACGCGCAGAGGACATGGCTGCATCCTTCCCGACGAATCTTCACGAATAACCCAACAGATGCCTAAACTGATGACTCACATATCTCTTGATCTTGTATGCTTCATCCAAACCGTTCTACGGGACTTGTTGAACACCCGCTTTTTTATCCGTGGTAAATCCTTGTACATTGTTCATCAAAACTCTCATTGCTTGTTGTTTTTCAGCCCGCCCAGTCCATGTTTCATTGGCTCTACTCGAATCACTCTTTCACGTCTACTGTTTCATTCGAGCCGACATATTGCACCCAACACAAACGAATCAGTCGTCGAAGTGGACGGTGCGATTGCCTCCGGTTATGTCTCAGTTTCTGGCGATCCCTCTGGTTTGAAGTGGTGGCCAATGGGTAGTCATTTACACCCACCGCGGTGTGCACAGCCACTTCCGGTCTTCCCGATCTATCGGACCAACTCATCCTTTTTACACGACAGCTGGATTGCCATTCGTATAAGCATGCATGGCTCACGAAGTCAGCTGAATATTCGAGTAAGTCCCCCGGTTTGATGGGATTGCGATGCTCTTCGTAATCTCATGCACATTCCTGCTTTTTGATTTCTCCTTTGTTCCATGGACATATGAGGGGTCACTTAAGGTTGGGTTGCCTGCTATCCTTGTTTCTGATGTTCATGAATTTTCGTGCGTTGTACAGGCACACCTGTAAACACAGTATACTAAAGTATCCACATTGGTGCTTATTGATTTACTCGGTTCCTTCTATTGAAGTGGATTGCATCCAGAACCCTTAACTACGTTTACTTTTCTGTTACGTTTATCGCACGAATGCCATCTGTCATCTGACGGACTATTCGTCATTAATATGGACATATGGGGTATGTTAATTACAACTAACATTACTTGCTCTCCGGACCCGTATTAAGCAAGTTGGTACCCCGGATGGCGTGGGCCCTAATCCTCCGAGTCTTGTGAGTAGGTTTCTTATCTATCCTCACAGCAGTGTTTAATGACATTTCATAAGATTGGTCTGGTCTATTTCTCGTTCTCCGATCGCTTTTGTTATGGGCAGCATTTTTCAGGACTTTGTATAGAATTGCCTTCTCAGTGACTTGTCCAAAGTATGCGAACGATGTCGTTGTGGTATTACTCTCTTTTGTTACATTCGAAGCTTTATACTATTTATGGCATGGAGCAACTCGGGATACTGATAGTTTCGGTTGGCATTTCGGTTGTTGTGTGGTCTACCGAGCTAGATAGGTTGATTGCAAACGCTTTTCCACCATACATTATTATGGATTTTAATACTCCACTCTTGACCATTTGTTATTATTGCAACACCTGCGCTGAGAGTGTAGTATTCTTCACATATCTGTCAACCACTCGCCTCAGTGTGCTTTATTTTCGAACCCCGCGAACGATTCCTGGCGGTGGTCTAACAAAGGGGCCAGAAAACCTACTCGAAAACCAAGCTACGTTGCTGCGTGTCATCTTACCGTGACGCCAGTGTCCTTGTTTCATCGATTACCTCACTTCTAATTCCATACTACTCAGCCAGATGTTTTTAACGTTATTGTTAGATAATTTCTTTCTACCTTTTGCCTTTTTCACCAGAATAACCTGATGTCTAGCATTCCAATCTACCCGCCCTTGTTGCTCTAAACCCTGTTGATCGTCTGCTCCATCATGCATTGCTCTCCTCAAGGCCGTCTTGCTAACCCTTATCTATGTCGGATATGGATATTGCTACCTCTGCAATCGCTGCGGCGAGAGATTTCCCACAGTATTCATCACCGTTAGCTCATATTTATTTGACTATCACCTCCTTGGTCCTGTGGAGTAATGAACTTCTTCATGAAAGTCTTTTTGGTGTCCTCCGTTCGATTAGTTTCAGCTCTTCACCGTTCTTTCATTTTCCTTATCCCAGTTTTAATTAGTTCAAGCTTTTGTCCTGGATATTATGCGTGTTTGCACATGTGCTTGGATTCCAAGTGGCAATTTTATTAGTCCGATAACTCCACGGGTTGGGCCATATGCCATTTGATTGCAGATGCGTTACATCTTATATTCCGACGGCTTATCCTCAGATTCTGGCACTACCTAACTGGAAGTATCTGGTAGTTATGCGGTGTAGATCCTACCGTCTGACACATTGGCTATTAGCTTCGCCTCAACCAGGCACCAGACCCCAATGATTCGCTAATTTTCGTTTGACGTCCGGTAGCCTCCACGCCTTGTTCTATATTAGATAGGGGGTACGCGATTACTTTCAGGGACCTGAGTAGCTTAGTCTCCGGCCGAACTGTTCTTTAATCAGCTGCCTCATGTCTATTAGTTGAATGAAAATGAGCTAATTCCCACTCGGATTTCTGTCCTCTCTCAGACTTGAAAGCCACTTAAGCCTGAAATTCACTTGAGATGCGCTTGCTGGGTGAAATGGGTTCTCTACTCTCCCACTATGCTTCCCATTCGATTCTTAGTACTTAATTTGTGCAAACAAAATTCATGGAGCTCTCTCGTTCAGTCCCTGTTGTTTTCTTCCCATTATTATAGTCCATTAGTGAATCTCGGGCACCCATCGATCCCAATGCGGATGGTCAACTTGGTTGGAATCTCGGAGCATGCCCTGCAGTTCCTCGACTCGCTTATCCGCAGACACGCATGTCAGTTGGGGGACAAGAGATCGGAGACGAATCAATCGAGACCACTTTCCCGGCCGAAATAATTGTGGAACTTGCTTACCATCTGAAACCGAGTTGCAGGTTAGCGCAGTGCCTTAATCGTAATCCGGATGTTAGACCCACCGGTTACCGAATGTTTGTTGATATTTTCTCCCTGTTATGAATTGCCTGTTCATATATCGGTTCAGATCTGAGCACTGTCATTAGTTAAATTTATCTCTTTGGATGACTCACAGATGCTTCGCTTAGTCAAAGCCGATCTCCAAATTCGACTTGCTGTTAGGGGAGCGAATATCTCTACATGACTCGTTTCATCATTGGGGACGTCAGTGTTCCGCACTGTCAACCAGCATTGTCAGTCTAACTGTTGCTCACACGAATAGGAAGACTGCTCTTTGAGACATAATTCCCACGTATTTCCGATGTTGAAAGTGCTGTTAACTCATCGTTTCGTTTTTCGTTCATTTTGCCTTGTAGCACAAGTCTAAGTGGAGCGACAAAGGAGAATACGAATTGTTTATCTCCATCGGACTTCGTTTTTGTTACCTTTCCGGTAGACGGTGACAAGACCGGAACTCTAAGCTCATATGATGGTCTGTGGACACGTGTGGCTAACGCCCGCAAAAAGCCAATTAGCGGGCGCATCGCTGTCACAACGAAAGTGCCGATGGGAACTTCAGTTTGTTGGAATTATCGGAGATTTGCACGGCTTCCCACTTGGCTTGTAGAGCCACGTACACGACGGGTAAGGGAACGACGCAACGACCCGGTTCTATTGCGAGCATTCATCTAACTCATAGGATAACGTCGCATTTTCCTCGTTACACTGCTGTTTGTCATACAGATCCCTCTAATAATGTGCTGGAAACATGCACGTCGTTACCGTTGGCCACTTTCTGTAGAGCTAGCTCTGCGTATATGCCTGCAAACTAACTAAATAAAAAAAGAAATAGAGGATACATTTCTCGACGGTGCGAGGCACAGTCCAGCTGATTGGTCTGGTCGTTATGTACAACGGGTTCGCATGGGATGCCTAATATTTATTCGACTCCTTTTTCAGAGCAGTTCCCAAACTATTTTCCGGGGCTGATTGATCGGCTGCGTCTTTCAAATAGATGGATTGGTTGATGATAATAATAACAAATGCAGGTAAATCTAAATGTTCTAGTAAAGTAATACGGCCAACCGTGGATTCGTCTCCAGGGGACCTGCTTCCATGCAGGTTAGTCCCTCGAAAGGTTTCACCCGCACTTCCATGTCTGTTCTGACCGTGTGCTGGTGTGGCATAAAAACACCAATTGTATTCATCTTTAGGGTTCTATTTAAGTGTATATATGGACATCTAGGTCATATTACCCTTACCATCAATCGTTTTTTTTGAGTCAAGCACTTTTATTACTCGTCAGAGAGTCGATGGCATCTTGCCTCGCATGGGTTCACCTATTATTTTGAAAACTAAAATCCGTCACCTCAGCAGATCGACCCAGTCATGGCAAACAATGGGATAACGAAGAATATAGAATACGCGGAAATAGAAAGGCAATTACGGTAATGATGAGAAATAAGAAATTGCTGTATGTAAATACCGTCAAGAAAGGCCGACGAATTTCTCGATCAAATTGTGCGGTGAGATCGCCGTAATAGGTGGTTGCTCGGATTATCGATATGCGAGACAGTTCCGAAAGTAGTCTTCAGCTTCATCCGACAGTTGCTTGTGTTCGCAAAATACAGTATTTTGTATCACGGAGCACTGAGAAATGCTTCCTGCTGCTGGGCTGTTGCTCTCAGGAAGGCGGAAGAAATATTTAATATTACAAGACGAATGTAAGGAATATAAAGGTAAACGAAATAACAGTTTATATCGGCGGTGTGAGATACGGATTGAGGTTGATCTGGTCTAATTTTATAAATTGGTGGTTGAAAACAGTTTCTGTACAAGTTGTCACAAGAAAAGAGGTTCGTGATCGATGCATCACTGGCAGTCGATGTATGTAGGAATTGACATTGACAGATGTCATGAGGCACTCTGTATTTTTGTGCTGATAACCCTGGGCAGGAAAGAGAAATGGTTAGCAATACGGAAAACGGTTCTTTCATAACTAAATAAATGTTACGATAGTCGCAGACTATAGGTATAGCTATATGTTTTGTTTTTCAGAGTTCAGTATGGTACTTTCCTGTATTGTTGCTCCGCAGGCCAGAATGATTTCTTGAGGCCAACAATTACAGGGTGTCAAAATGCTGAATAGGGGAGGTGGTGATTGATACCATATCTTAGATATCTTCTAGATCGTTCTACTCCGTGCCATTTTATCTCAGCAGCTCGGTGGCCTTTTCAACAATTAACTAGGTGCGGATCTCCTTACAAAAGATTCCAGGTGATTTACATTCTCGCAGCTTGGATGGCAGCTTGTTACATATCTTTGAGTAAACATTCATATGAAAGTTCGTATGTGGCTGAGTTCTAGGCCTTTCTATTTTTAGCAAGTTGTGGCTGTCACGAATACTATAGGTTGGCCCATCTTTGAATTTCAAGTCCAGTCTTGGGGCATAAACTCGCTTGTGCATGATATCGAATAAGAGACATATATTAAGTCTCATCCGTCTGAGCCATACCGGGTCTAGTTTTAAAGCCTTGCAGCGCTGTGCGTAAGAGATTCGGGAGGACATTCCCAACAGACGTTTAGTGAACGATCTATGCAACTGCTCCAGTTTCTGACGATCACCTTTTCTTGTGTTACTGTAGATCAATGCACCATAGGCTAACAGCGGTCGGGATTTTATGTTGTATAGGGTGGCTATGGAATCATGTGTTTTGAATGTTTTGAATAGTAGTCCAATGCTTCGACGAGCCTTAGCGACTACATTTACCGTGTGCTTCACAAAATTTTGTGAGCCAGAATAGTGAAGACCTAAGTCCTTTATTGCACGGTTGCACGTTATTGGCTTTCCACAGAGAACCAGGGTGCCAGGGGCGATTGTACAGCGTAACAGTAGGGCACTGCACTACTCGTTTGAGAATGACTTATCCCGTTTGCCGCACCATAACTCAAGGGCTTTTAAATCAGATAGAATGCCGTTCGTGGTGTGGTTCGTGTCAGTAACATCAAAGGTGTAAACGATTTTCACGTCATCAGCAAATACTTATGTGACTCCGTAGTGTATTGCGTCGGATATATCGTTAATATACGATAAAAGTGTAGTGAGCCGATAACGTTGCCCTGAACTACGCCACTCATCACTGGTCTAGGCTGGGACTTTTACACATTTACTCTTACCACCTGAGTTCGGTTTGAAAGATATGACTTGAACCACGGTAACAATAGGTCGGTTATTCCAACAGATGCGATTTTGTCTATAAGCTTATCGTGAGGTACACGATCAAATGCTTTCTGCATGTCTAGGAAGATCAATACTGATGATTTCCCCGCAGTCTAAGGAGAGAGTAAGATTGTTGAGAAAGGCAAGGTGACATGTTACACATGAGCGTTTCTTCAATACTCCATGTTATGCGCTATTAAACAGACCACTTGTTTGCAGAAAATCTACCACTTTTAGGGCAATTAGTCTCTTCATCATTCTGCAAATAATGGAAGTGTGGCTGATTGGCCGATAGTTTCTAATGTCATGTCTGGGTCCAGTTTTGTGACGTGGTATAACAGTGGCTGTCTACCACTGTGTGGGTACTTTGCCGACCTTCATTGAAAAAGGAAATAGATTGAGCAGAAGGAGAGGGATATCTGACCCTCCTAGTTTTAGTGCGATTGAAGGAAGAGCATCAGGGCCTTCGTATTTAGATTGTTTCACAGCCCCCAGTTGTTTTTCTATGTCTTGCAGTAAAAATTCTACTTTAGAGAGACGGTTGGAGGTTCCGGTGGATAAGTCAAGCGGAGGGGAATAAGTGGCTTTGCTGAAGGATGAACAAAATTGCTAGTTCAGTGTCCCGGTAATTTGGATAACGTCATGTACCACAGAGCCATCAGGAAGTTTGATAAAAGTAATTTCATTCGTCGTATGGTTTAGACGTTTTAAGAGATCAGTCAACTTTAGCTCTTTGTTGTTAACCGAAAGTGCATGCGTCCCCTCCGCCACTTGCCTTGAGAGGCGAAGGGCATAGTACTTGGTTAAGAGTTGTCGCTGTTGTAGAACTAGTGAAAAATCGTTTGTCCGTCTGTACTTTTTGCGGAGGATTTCCATCTTTTGGTGATTTTAGGTGGTAGACTGTCTGCATATTTTCGATTTATAGGGCATTTACGCTTAAGCGGTGAGACCACGCCAAGACAAGTTTTGCTCTGGAATATTGGTAGCTCGGGAGGCTTGCTCAGTTGTTGTGGAGTTCTCCGAGCTGGACAACTTGGTTGCAAACGTTTCGCCACCATTCGAGGTGGCATCTTCAGTGCGGGATTGATAGCAGTAAAGTAGCAGTAGCTGGTAGAAAGCAAACCCAATAATGGATGCTGTCAGCAGCCACTCCGTTGCCTATATAGTTATACGGGGCTATTAATTTTGCCTCGTTCTCATTGGTGAATCCTTGTGTTCAGCGGTTGTGCTCGAATCATTGTCATTGGCTGCGGAAATGTTGTTGCGACGTGGTTGGGAGTATCGCACCCGGATTGGTGCGACGGGTGTGGGTGAGTAGTCTGGGCTCATATTGACCATGCTGTTCATTGTCCGTGTGTTGGATTAGGTTCTTTCGGACAACGGTTTTTGATCCTCTTGAACTCTTTCTGTCTCAGCGGTTGATATATTGGATCGAGGTCGATATGCATGTTGACTGAGTTCGTGGTTGAGAACCAGGCTTCGAGAAACTACCTCCCTTTTTGGGTTTCTCCTTCGGTCAAGAGCTCTACTTTGTTCCAGTCGAAGCTGTGCACCTCTTCATCCACATGTGCGTAATGGTTCTTGCACGCTCTTTGGTGTTCATGTATCCTGGTGGACAGCTTCCTTCCTGTTTGTCCCACATAGTGCTTTTCACAGTTTACGCAGTTTATTCTATGTATGACATTCTGTTGTTCTAGCGTCTCTCGCTTTCCTTTTGGTTTTGACAATGTTTTCCTCAGAGTGGCGGTTGGCTTGTGGGCTACCATGATATCATGTTGTTTGAACAATCTGGCAGTCATTTCAGACATGTTCTTTATGTACGGCAGAACTATACGTTTCGCCATAGCTGACGTAGGTTCGGTTTTTGAGGGCTTGCGATTTAAGCATCTTCGGAGGAAACTGCGTGGGTATCCGTTTCGTTCGAATGACCTGAATAAGTGTTTTTCATCTGCTCGTTTCGCTTCTGTCATACTGCAGTGAGTTGCTATTCTATGGAACAGTGTCCGCACACAGAAACAAATCAGATACACAGTCGTTCCAGCCATGACGCATTTAAAGCAATGCAACCCTCTATCCCGACAAGAGAAGGAAGCAATAAAAGCTCTGAAGTCTGACGATTCAATTGTTATCCTACCTGCTGATAAAGGACGGATGACAGTAATTATGGACAAAGCAGATTACACCGAGAAAGCACAACAGCTCCTGAACGATACTACAACCTACCAATGCATTGAGAATGACCCAACGTCGCAATTAACCAACAAAATAAACAGAGTGTTGGCAAAGCTTAAGAAGTCGAACGAAATATCGGAAGTGGAACGAGAAAAAATGAGGGCTCGCGACTCGAACATTGCACAATTCTATGGACTACCTAAAGTACACAAGGATGGAGCACCCTTAAGACCAATTGTGTCACTTCCAGGC